CTCGCCCTTTTGTGATTACTTTGAAAGGCCTCAAACCAAAACAACGCCGCGTCTTGATGGGATTTGCCAACAAACCGCAACTAAAGGCCATAGAAGAAATCGCTGTGAACATAATCAAAACACCGTCAGCCTATCGCCGACTGAATTGGACAAGTGCAAACGTCATCGCAAAGCATTAAAGCTGCTTGCATTGCGACGGTATCCATGAAAGCTAAGAAGCGCATTCTTCAGCAAGGAGGATTCTTGGGTGCAATTTTACCTGTTATTGCTGGCGTCTTGACATCGTTGATTGGTAATGGATGAATACTTTATTGTTCCTCGCCGCGTCATGGAAGAAAAACTTCACGAAAAGATCCAAGTCAACAGGAGCCTCCCGAAGCAAAAGCCGTTGTTTCGTTGGACAATTTAATTGCGCAAACTTTGCAGCGAAAGGATATAAGTGAATACGAGAAAGCGAGCCAGCTTTCCAGTATTCTGGAACGTTTTCTTGCTTTAAAACCAAAAGCTATGCCGGATGAAAACCCCGTAGAGCCGCCCAAATACGTGCCTCCAGTACCACCATCGCCACCAAAGAAGCCGCGCCCTAGTCGTCCCAAAGAAAAATCTGAGGAAATACCTATTCCAGTTGAACGGTTGCGGTCTGGCAGAAAGCAAACAGGGAACGGGATGAAACGCAAAATTAACTGGATTACTTTATCATAATGTGCCGGATTTTTGCCGTCGGTTATTAGGTTGTGCCGCTTCTTCAAAATTAACTGTGTTTCTAATTGCTGCAACGATGGATCGTCTAATGAGAAAATACCTCGACCCTCGTCATCCCGGAAGTTTTGGAGGCGTCGAGGCGATTCCGAGAACATTAAAAACCAGGACCAACAAACGGAGAGCCCAGGAGATACTGGAAGAGATCGATGCATACACTGTCACCAAAGAAAGTCGGAAACGGTTTCCACGAAATCCAGTGATAGTTACCAATCTGCGGCAGCAGTACCAAGCTGATTTGGCAGACTTGTCGAAATATTCCAAAGAGAACGATGGGATAAAATACTTGCTCTTTGTCATTGATTGCTTTTCCAAAATGCTGAGCATCCAAGCCTTGAAGGCCAAAACCGGAAAAGAAACACGTGATGCCCTTCAGAAAGCCTTTTCGAACAACTAGGATTTCCTGAAAAGCTGCAGTACGACAAGGGCACGGAAATGCTGAACACAACTGTTCGCGCATTTCTGAAAGACCACGACGTACAGTTCTTTACCTCCCAGAACGAAGACGTAAAGTGTGCCATGGCGGAAAGAGTAATACGTACAATTAAATCCCGCATGTTCCGATTGTTTCGCTACCGCGTCAGCACCCGCTACATTGACAAGTTATCTGATATGGTGCACTCATATAATCACTCACCACACAGCGCTCATGGAATGCGACCCATCGACGTCAAGCAGAGAATTCTCTGCTTGTCTATAACAAGTTATATCCAGCGCTAACAGTGAAAAGACCTCGGTACAAGGTGAACGATGCCGTGCGAATTTCGATTCGAAAAGGAAAAGTGGAAAAAGGATACACCTACCGATTTAAGGAGGAGATCTTCTTCATTCAACAAGTCATTCCTCATCCTGTACCGGTCTACGTTTTGAAAGACTATCAGGACAATACCATTGACGGAAAATTTTACGAACCAGAATTATCTCTCGTGCGCAACGTGCCTGACAAAGAGCACACTGTGGACTTTATTGTAAAGCGTCGCGGAAAGAAGGTGTTAGTCCGTTGGTTAGGTTACGGACCCGAACACGATCAGTGGATCGATGAAAAATGTATGAAGGTGCGCCGTTCTACCTAACTCTACCCAGCGATGTGGCTACCGATCCCGCCAACACCCCGTCAATTGGACTACCAAGCTAAAGCATCCTATTACATTGAAAGGCAAATGGGAGATGGCATTGGTGGAGTTACAGTACCTGAACTCTTTTTACACTCTGCCAGTTGAGCAGAAAATCCAAGTGGATGTTGTGCGAGAATTTTATTTGAGAAAAGACGGGGAGTTTATCCAAACTCCAAGATATGTCAGTGCCCAGAAAAGCATTGTTGTACCTCCGGGTAATTACAAGAACGCTGAGTTGCTTCTTCAAACCATAAACTCTCTGGCTCCCGTCATTAAGACCTATCTGTTGGATGGAAAAGTGATTGACGACAAGAGTGCACTGCCAAACAATAAAATGTTTGAAGTGCAGTTTTACGCCAACCAACCATAAAGTCAAGCTGAGTATTGGGAATGACCGAGTATCGTATACTTTCCGCCCGAATCTTCAACGTTGCAAAAGATTCTGGGTTTCGATCAAAGCCAGTTTGAACCTAATGTTCCTGTTGAAACAACTGATACCGCACAAGGTCAGGCAAGAGCAAAATACTTAGCATTCTGGGACAAGGCGCCAGCACCAAAAGTAACTACGTTCATTTCCGACCGGCCTGTAAACCACATTGCTGGGCAGTCAGGTCCTATTTGTGTACAGCGACGTGGCCGACTACAGTTTGATCGGTGACACAGCGGCGCAGTTTTGCGTGCCGTACCTATTAGAGGCGAAGTTAATCAGACCGTGGAAGCACGTTTTGACATTCCTCATTATGTTCCTGTTCTTCGTCAACATTTTGAAACCATAAATCTGATTATTGCCAACGACCTCGGAGCCGAAGCCAAGTTCCAAACGGAAAGTCTCTGGTGAAACTACACTTTCGACCACAACGCCTGTACTGAAAATGCCTTTCGTTCAGTACGTTCCTGATCCGCGACGCTACGAAGAAGTGTTTGTCAGCCAAACCGGAGGAAGTGCGCTCATTCGTTACCGCGGCACGCTGCAGAATGGTTCCAGGTTCCCGCAGATTCTAAAGAATTTGTTTGCAAAGATTTCCGCATTTGCCAAACCAATTATTCGTCGAGCAGCACCCCATGCTAAAGCGGCTTTGGAAGCGGCAGCGCCGCACCTGCAAGAAGCGGCTAGCGGGGCCATTAAAGACGTCACGGCTCAAGCCAAAAAGCTATTACTAAGCGTTTAGCACCTCAAGAAGGAAGTGGTATTCGTAAGAAACGTCGCACAGTTCGTAGTCGCCATCGCATTAAACGTATTCCACCAGCCAACATTCCTGACTACTTTTGAACATGGCTCTGCTGATGATGGAAAATTCCGAACCAGCGATGCAGTTGGACAACCAGCTGTTTGCTTTACCGGCGACCTTGACTGATCGATGGCGTACCGAGCATGAGAAACTTAATCCAACAACGATCCTGACAGACAACGGTTCGGCTGGTGACATAAACTTCTACATTCCTCCCAGTACCGCTGGTCTGCTCAGCCTGGGTGATATGATGCTGGAACTCGAGGTCGGTATAAAGGTTAAGAAGGAGCAGCCGATTGGGATCTAATTACCAACACCGACGGGTGGCTCCAGTTAACAACTTTCTGCATTCATTGTTCTCTTCGTGCCATGTCACCGTGGCGAATCGTCTCATCTCGGATGCGGCAACGTTTTATCCTTATCGAGCATACCTGGAATCATTGCTATCCTATGGCGTGGATGCCCAGAGATCACAGTTGACATCAGCAGGATATTACGCCGACACCTCAACTAAAATGAACGACGAAAAGAAAACAACGGTGAAAAAAGCCGCAAAGCCTTGTTCAGCGGAAGCAACTACGTACAACTATCAGGCAAATTGTTCGCTGATCTGTTCGATCAAAGTAAACCGCTCTGTACCGGCGTACCAATCAACATCCGACTGGTGATGAGCCGACCTGAATTCTGTTTGCGAGTGTGGGATGCTGACGCAACAAAGCAGTTCAAACCGTTTATCCGGAACGCACGACTATCTGTCCGTCGATACATTCCAGCACCAGATTTCATGACAGCTGTAGCGTCAGAAATGCTGAAGAAGACCGTGAAATACCACATTGAACGCGTAGTGATGCGTGTTTCTGATATTCCCCAGAAAACTCAAAGCACTGTAGTAAGCAACTTGCAAATCGGACAGATTCCCAAAGTTATTTTCATTGGGTTTTGGAAAGCGATGATTTCCACGGCAGTTTCAAGAGTAATCCTTTCAACTTTCAACATTTTAATATCAATCAGATCAGCGTGGAGGTGGACGGTCAAAGCTATCCAACAAAACCCTATACTGCCGATTTTGGACGTTCGCTGTCATTGGAATGTTATGATGGGTTGCTGGACATTGGGATATCGCACTCATGCGCACAACAGCCTCCATATTAATCGAACCGCTTACAACGGCGGATACACGCTGTTCGGGTTCGATTTAACGCCTGGACATACTGGAAGAGGACCGCTGACTTTGGTGAAGCAGGGCAATTTAAGCGTTTCGGTTAATTTTGACAAACCGCTGGAAAAGACCGTAATGATGGTGGCTATGTTAGTCTACGACAGCATCATTGAGATCAATCAGCATCGGCAACTGATTGCGGACTTTTCGACATGAACACCGACCAAATCCTCAGCGCTCTCCAATCAAACCCGGCTACAAATGCTGCACTACGCGGAGTGTTTGCCAGCGATAAAGTGCCCCTGCGCTACTGCCATATCCTGGAGCGGCAGTGATTAACATTGACCCAGCGGACCAAGATGGATCGCACTGGATTGCTGTTTACCAAGAAAAGATGGAGTTTTGGAAGTGTTTGATTCGTTTGGGAGGAAACTGGGTTCATATACTAAGAATTTTGCTGATTTATGTTCATCTAATCGGATCGTAGAGCAAGCCGAACAACTGCAATCAGAATACACTACAGTCTGGCCAATACTGCTTGTTTTTTATACTTCGTCGTGTTAGTGGCGAAACTTATACTAATATTGTGCACTTGTTTACTGAGAATCGAGCAAGCAACGACAAGATGGTCTGCCAGTATGTGAATTCTTATTTTGACATCAATACAAAGATAATTGACGGTTCATTCATCCGTCAAATATGTAAACGAATATCGGAATTAAAATGAAAAAAACCATTCTACTGCTGCCTGTAATGTGCAGTTCGTAAATGAAACACGGAATAATCCAAAACAAATACAGCTCGTTATTGACGCTACTTAAATAAGCTTAGCGAACATAGCACGAAACTCCAGAGCATTAAGTTCCAAATACCCTTAACGTCCAGTCCAACAACTTGCCCAAGATCCACTTGGTCAGCTTCCAACAGAACAGCCTCCACATAGCGCGACTCCACAATAGCCTTTTCAGCCGCTGCCCACTCGTCATCGCTGGCACTCCCACAGCTGACTTTTCCATTGCGACCGCGCATTTGGTGGATGAGTTCAGTGAACTCTTCAGCCACTTCCTATAATCAAAACAAACTGATTACCGCACAAGTCTTTCAGAAACAGAGATCAGCATAAAATTACACAAATAAACGGAATGCTCACCTCTTTGAGCTTGTCATAAGCCAGAGCGGATTTCAAGGTCTTTGGAACATTGTTGGCTTCATCCACTCCCAGGAGTTCTTTCAGCAGCGTCATATCCATAACCAGTTCTTTGAGACCGTCGTACGTCTTCAGTCCAAAGGTCACGCCAGCTTTCGTGGGAATCAGGTCTCCGTTCTGACCGAAGGTGTAACGTCTTACGGTGGCCGTGTTGACACGGTTGTAACGTCCCCAGCCAAAATACAGTCCACTCTCCAGCGCATACAGAGGCGTCAGCTTACCGTCGGTGCCACAGTTCTGAGAATTCTTGTCCAGGTCCGCTTTACCACTCATCATCAAGGCACACAGGCGCAAGAAACCAGGCTTCTTTACGGTGATGGACTTCTCCAAGGTGCGGCGGTAGGTGTCGTCGCTTTGCTTTCCTCCCCGATGACGATGGCAGAAACCCCATCTTGGAAGCGGGCGTAGACGTACTTCTCGAACCCAATCTTGTACACGTTGGATCCTTCATGAGAAAAGGCATGCCGCGGATGCTTGGTGTCATCTTGCTCCTTGAACTTCTTGGCAAGGTTCAGCTTGATATCGTCCATCTCCGGTGCGCGTCGCTTGGCAAAGGTGCGGGTTTTGAGAGGCGTGGCTGGAATCTCGCGGGCAATGTTGCTGGTGGAAGGCTTAGGCGACGCGGCGCTGCGAGGAAATGAAATCAGGGATAAATTCCATGGCAAATGGAGTAAGAAGTACTACAGCGTTCGAATAAAGTAAAGGTCAAACAAAAAACTGTTGCAAACTAAAATTGTCTGATATCTGGAACTGATCGAGGGTTTTATGCGTTGCCTGACATCTGCCTTCATATACAAAATTTGAAAAAGCATAATGCAAGACAAAACAGTAGCACTTTTGCCTTGCAAGTTGAAGGTAAACTTGAGGCGTACGAGCAAATACGTACGTTTTTTGTACTTGGGCCAGCTTTCCCTTGCAAAAATATTATTTTGAACCGTTTCAGTACAAAAGGAGGCGGCGCTATAGAGTACGGTTCAGTTGGTTCAGCCAAAAATAGTAAAATGGCTGTAAGGTGTGTTGTAGACGCTGATTGGTTTGTAATTGACAAACAAAAATACCTCAAGCAGTTGTCTTTTCTGTTTGGAAAAAGCCGAGGTCGGCCAGTACATTTACATTACCACGCACTGCTGCCAAATGCGCGGGTGATTTGGAAAGGCAAGCTCGTCACTCCACGGTCTGGTTTGGCATACCTACGGGGATTATCGCCACAATCAAACAGCACTGGCCTTTGAAGATATTTTACTAAAGTCGGGCGACCAGCTGACGTCACATTTTATGCGAAAGGGCTTGAAAAGTGCCGCCTGCTAGAACAGTTTCTGCCAGAAGTGATCAACTTGGAAGAATACCATTGCCCGCCATTTCGTAAATTGACTGCATCCAGACCAGACAACGCAACGCAAGGGCGGTTGTTTCCAGGATTATGGTTGTATAAGAATGGTGCGGACTACCAATGTTGTCGCCACAGCAAAGTTGAACTGTCACCTAAACCTCAGCGAGATTGAAAAACGGTTGCCCTTGGCACAATATACACCACGCTCCTTTTTCCGGTTTGCGTACTGCGGCCGGATCACGCTGCCGAAGGGCCACTGTCAGCTGTACGTTAACGGTAAAGTGACGGTCAATGGAGGGAAAACTTGGAAGCGCGTTCTCTTTGGAGTATTTCATACGACTACTACGTAATATTGGCTACGAATGTTTTGCGACTGAATATCGAATTGTAAACATTGTAGGCACTCATGATTTCGGCCAGCGGTTTGATTTAGACAGTGTCAGTAAACTTTTAAATGTTCCATACTGTGCCGACAGGTTTCTTGGCCTGCGCATAAAGTTACCAGAATGTACTGCAATTTTGTTTGCTAGTGGTCGCTGTAATTTTTTGGGAGCTAAAACAGAAGCCGATATGACATGGGCCATGATTGATTTAGTACTAAGTTTGCCAATAAACTGAAAATCACGCGTCTGTTTGCCGTATGCTTTAATGTTATAAGGTATCACTGCAACACGTAACCATACGGTAGAGTATTGTAACAGTTACCAACAATTCGCCTTTTATCGTATGTTAAGCTTAAACGTTTAGACAAATCAACTTGGCGCAATACCATAGATTTTTTGACACGCTGAATCGATTCAGGATATTCAGCTACCAGAAAATCAGTTTTCTTATGCAAAACATCAACCATCGATTCAAACGTAATGCTCTCGCTCGTCTGTCCGTTCAGCGTAAAACCTTTGACCTTGGCGACACTTTTCCCATCATTAGTCTTGTAGGAATACGTCTTGGGACCGAGACTGACAAACTGGGTGATAAACTGATCGGGCTGCAATTCGTCCGTTAGGTCTCCCAAAAACTTGCCAGTTGGAGGAACGATTGCTCCCGGCTTCTCCACGAAAATGATAGAATCTGTAAAGTAAGGTTCTTAGTCTCACACACTATCTAAAGTTTTTCAAGCAGTTAATTACCGGTATCGAAGTAGAGCAGTGTATCCTGGACTTGCTCCATATAGCCGTATAAATGGAGCCGGGCCCAGCATGTCGTAAACCTATCAAAAAGGTATTATCAGCAAAAACACCGATCCTTCAAGAAGCAATTGCTTACGCAGCTAAGACAACGTTCGTATGAGGGTTCTGGTCAATAAATAACTTTTCCCTGGTGTACGCAACTTGCAGAACATCCTCGCTGAACATATCCCACGAGTGGATGTGGAATTCACCAGAAAGAAGCATTTTGTAAAACTCCTGCGGGCAAGTTAGGTACTTGGTGTTCGGCTTGTTGTCCTGCATACCCAGGCGACCCCAGAAGCTGCAAGTACAAATCCAGTTAGCCTCAGTTTACAAAACGCGCAACAGCAGATATTACCTATTCAAACACAACTTGGCAAGCGCCCTCATGCCAGGGTTGTTCTCAATCTTTTCGCGGTCCAACTGAATGCCTTCATGATCTTTAAAATCTCGTAGAAATTGATCTTTCTGGTCGTCGGTTGTCATATCCGCTGGCCAGCCACTTGCTTCCGTTTTATCTTGAGGAACCGATCAATGTAGTCCGCAAACAACCTTTCTTCCGACTGCTCAAAGTGCCACACTTCCAACATCTTTGTGATGACATAACCGCGCTCGATTGCAGCGTGCAGCTCTGGCGTGCCTGTAAAGGTTACCGTGGGTGTTGTCGTGGGTGTTCAGAATTTCAACGGTACATACTTACACCATGTTCCAGTAAGCGTTCTTTCTTCGTCGGAATGTGCACAAGGGGCGTTAAGTTGTTTCGCAGCGCATGTGTGGCACAGAGGAAATACCAGCTTACCGTTGGAGCGGTATGGCAGAATCGGCAGGTAAAGATCCGGAGGCGGTAAGATTTTGCAGTGCACGATGCCAAAGTAGTGCGCGATTTCCAAAGTCTTTAACGATAATGATGGGGTGTCCGATCGGATATTTCTTGTTCTTGTTGACAAACGGATACTCGCTGCAGACATCAAAATGCAGGATCTTCTCTTCATTGCTAACGCTAGTGATACAACTTTGTGGCATTTGTTCGTCCGCCGAAGAATACATCACGTAGGGTTTATCGGTTGGGTGACGGTGATTTCGTCAACAAAATCCGCGAAATCTGGTACCTGCTTTACCTGGTCGTCGAACTCGTGCTCCCAGATGACAAACAGTTCGTGTCCCATGTCCCGGATGTACGTGTCGCGTTGCAGGGTTTCTTCGTAAATTTTGCTCATTGGTAAGTTTCTGAACGGGTGGACGGTATCCGGCGTTGTGCATTCAGGACATCCGTGGTACCAGCAGCCGTGGAACTCAAAAACCTTGCCTGTTGCTGCAGAGTACCCATCCACAAAATAAGGTCCAACTTTAAACTCATGCCCACTTGCTCGTGTCTGAATTGTGCAGTTCTCTTCCAGTTCCATCCACTGCATCCACTTTAGCGCTTTAGCCGACTGGTTGCGGTTTACGTTGTATCCTTGCGGTGGGATCAGTCAATCTGGTTCGCCTTCAAAATGTTTGACCTCCAATACAAACCACACAATCCAGCGATAGTCATCGAAGATGAGAATGGGCAAATGCCGTTACTGATGCCCAAAAACAAACTTCGAAATTGCAGACAGCACTTGCGGAGCACGGTGACATCGTTCCGACAATAATCCACAAATTCTTTACGAAAGTCGAAAGTGTTGTTCTTGGTGGCGACCTCCATATTGTACCACTGCTGAAATGTTTCACGATCTTTCTTGTTCATAAACTTGGAACCGTACTGCTCCATAGTAGGGAATTCGGTAACCTGATCCCAGTTTTCCGGCCGATTAAATCGATGTGGAAAGGAACCTTTTGACGTGTCCTTGATACCAAAGGTAGCCGGCCATTTGGACAAACTTTGCGGGTTGTAATTGATGCTGTCGCGGAATCGAATGTTGAATTGCGGAACATCCAGCTGCATGATCTTACCGCCGTTTAACACAACTTTAGGAGTTATACCGTTGCTGAGAAGCCAGTTCAGTATAAAGTAACCGTCAAAAGCCTATAAAACGGCAAAATAAAGGACCATAAGAAAAGACTGTACAATTTTACCTTGAAATTGTGGGCGATTATAATGTGATCGCGATGGTCTTCACTAAAGAGGAATCGACAAAGAGGATCTGTAATGTCGCAAAGCGATTCGCCGTCATTTGGAAATATCCACTCTTCGCCTTCATCATTCTGAACAACCTGTATAACATACCGTGGGTGTTACCGTGGGTGTGTCGCAGAACTTTTTGTTACACAAATAGTGTACGGCATAATGCCGTGGGTGTTACCGCGGGTGTCGTATAAAATTATGATTGCAAACTAGGAACTATGCTTACCGCGAGGTTTGGATACAGCCGCCCATCCTCAGCAACGTAAGTTTCAAAGTCGAAAAACAAAAATTGGGCATCCGAATACTGCATCTTCTGGAAAGGAGTAAGTTTCTGCGGCTTCATAAAACAGCGGTGATCTCCGATGACATGCTCCTGGCACGTTTTGCAAAACATTTCTCCACAACGGTGTGCGGATCCCAACTTTCTCTTCATTAAGGAGTACACACAACCACATTGAGTACACATTTTGACGGTACTGCAGATACTCCTTCGACTGCGAAACAGCACATCATTTCCCGGCCCAGCTTGTGATGGTCGAAGCAAGATTGGCCATGAAACTTGCGATTGCAATCAGCGCAAAGCATAATGTTGACAATATCCATGGGACAATCCGCTCGCAGACACTGATTACACTGACCGCTACATCTGTGACTTCTACGGTTGTTGTATCCTTTATTGCAGTTAAAACACCAGTAACAGCGACTGAAAAATGCCGGCATGGAAGTCAAGACATCAAAGTGCCGGTTATGTAATAAAAGGCAGATATGTTTGTCCTCCAGGTTCCCGCTGTACACAATGCTGCTGGCTTGCATCGTACTCACTACCACTATCTGGTAACCTGGCAATACTTTTTCAAAAGCCGAAATGTCTGCAAGGGTGTACTCACGGATTGAAGGCCGGCTTCTTCAATCAATTCCGGACAAACGCAGAATTTCTTGTTTTCCTTTCGCTATATGTCGGGCGTAATCTTTTCGGCCATCGGCAAACGCTTTTCCGATAACGAGGGCACGGGCCATACAGATATCGTCCACGTTGTTCACCAAAATCACTGACGTCATCCTCTTCAGTCTGTCGTACAATAACTTGGGTACGTCGCGGGCACACCGACCGGAAGGAATCTCCGTATGTTCTACAGAAACCCCAAATGAATCATCAATGGCAAATTCTTGGTGGAATTCAGCACTTTTGAGATTTCTGCCATCCAGCGGCGCACTGTCAGCTGTGATCGTAAAGTTGGTGGAGTCCAAATAGGGAACGACAAATACGATGATTCCACAGACACTCGGACGTACTGATGAGCGGCCACACCCGCTAGCACAGCATCCAAAACGTGGTCCAAGATACCCACTATTACTGCCGGTGCGTCACAAAATTTCACAGCATCCAAATCAAATACATGCACGTCAAAGCGTTTGAAATGCATATTGTACGTCTTCGAAAACCGGTACCCATTCCGTTCCACCGTAACATGATCGACAACATTAAAATCTTCAGGGACGCCACCCCAGCTTGGGATCTTCATGAACCCAGTCCTCCAATTCTGCCAACTCGGCAGCATCTTGGAGGTCTTGCTGCGATAAGGCTTCGTGCTGATCTACCCAATCATACCCAAATCGTATCCAAATAAGTCGCCGATCGAGTCACGCCGCATAATAGCCATTACAACGCACAGGTTTATACGTACGTACAACAATTAAAACCAGTACAAATAACAGAAGCACAAAATTAGTTTAGTTATGAAGAAACCCAGTTAGTACAATCATGACTGAAACAGTAAATAGAATAGCCATTACAACAAGAAAACTGAACCGTGGGTGTATTGCGCAAAATATAATCAGCGCATTCCGAAATAAGAAAAACAATTTACTCAACCAAAACAACGTCGTCGTCCTTGCCATTGTCGCTGTCCTTCTTGTCGCCGTCGTCCTGGCCGCCGCCTTCGTGGTCACTGCCGTCCTCTTCATCCACTTCGTCCTCCGCCTCCGAGCACGAGTCCGGAATTACGTCGTCGCCTCCACTGCTGTCTGCTTCGTCTTCAGCCTCCGAGCACGAGTCCGGAATTACGTCGTCGCCTCCACTGCCGTCTGCTTCGTCTTCAGCCTCCGAGCCCGAGTCCGGCATTTCTTCATCGCTGCTGTGCATCCAGTCTGGAGTTTCGGCACCAGGCAAAATCCAAGTGTGATCTACGAAGACACAAAAATTAGGCTTTTTTGAAGGCGTAACTCGAAAACTTCCTGAAAGTTGGTTACCTGATTCGGCCATGGATTCGTCGTCGTCATTGTCTTCTTCTTCGCTGTCCGTTGCCGGTTCTATAAACATGAAGCGCTCTGAAAAATTACATAATTTAACTAACCGTGGGTGTTACCGTGGGTGTTACATGGGCCTATCATTATAAAACTGCATTGACCAACCTTTCATTTCTTCGTCGCTGTCACTCTCAAAGTCCCCGCCGTCACCATCCCAACGCACGACCTGCGGTACCGCCAAAACCAGTTGCCGATGATGGGCTCTGGTGACGGTATTGGAGTAGAGGTCCACGGTCCGCAGGGCTGGCAGGTTCTTCAGTGGTTCCAGCTGTTGGACAGTGATGATGCCGTTATTGGCCAACGTCAGGCGCTTCAGATTAGGCGTGGTCCGGGCCAGGGCCGCCAGCTGGGGGTTGTTCTCCGCGAACCCGAGACGGTTGTCATTCAGCTGGAGGAACGTCAGGTTCGGCATCAGTGGCAATCCGACAACGGAGGTCAATCCGCACGCGTTAGCCGACAAACAGCGCAGGTTGTAAAACGCTGCAGCGGCAGACCCGTAAAGCTGGTAATGGGGAACTCGTCCAGGATGATGGTCTTGGCATCGTCCGGTTTGCCCTCAAATAACCAACAATGTCGTACTGGGAATACACACCGCTATGAAACATTGTAACGTATAGGAAAACCAGAGTAGTGAAAAGGATACTACAGTAAAGTATCGAAATAAAATGCAAACAAATTACAGGTATTACAAGTGCAGGCAATTACCGGACTGCAGTGTGCAGTACGCTTTATAGCTGCAAATTTGCCATGCAAAATTGTCTGAGCGTGAACACAATAGAAATCCGTAGTATTGCATGGGAAAAGTTTGCCTTGCAATTTGCCGGACAGAATGATTGACAGGCAGTTCGATTATTGGTAACCGCGCTATCGCAGGTGGTGAGTACTGCGACACACAATCTCTATTAGTGACTGCCCTACCTATAGCAATACACAGTACACAATTAACGTAACTGCCGCTTCGCATTTTAGTGCCAACATACGGTGGGGGGTTCTGGTAGAGACAGCCGCCACTTGTATTGCGGCTGCCCCACCTGTATTGGGCAAACTCTATGAGGGACCCGACCCTCCTGCTGCTTTCGTCGCACTTGACGCTTACTATAAAAACTGAATTCTAAATTGAACTACCGTGGTTTTCGTCATACGATGGAAAACGATGACCGTCGAAAAAACACCGCCAATCCACCAGCACCAGGATGCTTTTTATTCGACCGTATAAATTAGGAGGAGCTGTTGTGTGTTCGCTGTTGTGTATTTCACTGATGATGATAGTTCGCGTATGTTGAATCTTGCATGGATACTTTCTTCGAAGCGCTACGTTTACCCTAAAACTAACACCTAGCATTTCTGGATTAGCATTTAGTTTTTGCTAGCTCAATAAATCAATTTATACGCATCAGGAAAGTTTTCTTTTAGTATCGTTTTCATTGTTTGATGTTCGGGCTCTTGTGTTGTTCGCCCATCGTGGAGCGTAACAAGAAAATCATCGTTTGCAATTCGAATAAATAGTTAATAATGAGCAAGCGTTGGTATTTGTTCCATGCGCGCAAAGTGACTCATAAAAGTCAGAAGATTATTCTTGCAAGATTTCCTCTCATGTTTCGAAGCTGCTGCTGCTGGTGTGGTTGTCTCAGTACTGATTCTCTGACGCAAAAACTCCCCCGACCGAGGGTTACCGCTACATTCGCAAATCTTCCTTGACAAATCCCTAAAAAATTCTCCTAGTACGTACCATCGGAAATACAGTGCTGGTGCAGCGCGACAACGGCCAGTGGTGGCTGGGATACGTTCAGGATATTGACGGCGACCTGTTCTTCGTTGACTTCGACGCCACCAAGCTCAGTGCAGAATGGATCCATTCCAAGCAGTTGTGGCCGCATTATTTTATCTATGAATTGATCATTGACCGCCGGACACTTTCTAACTTTTCCGTGCATGTGGCACTGCCAGACAAGGACGGTGGGCCGTTGGTTTTCCGACCGGCAACAATTATTGAAAATCTGGGATGTATGTTCTGTTCTGTCCGCTTGGATAATTCCCCCGAATGCCGCATTGTGCCGGCGCACCACCTAATCGCGCAACTGCCGACCGCAAATGGCGAGCCGAGTTATTTCGGGCGTGTTGCCGGGCTCGTCTACCGCAAGCATATCGTCCCGTTGGATGAGGCGTATCTGTTGCGTCACGTGAAATTCATACCGTGCATCCTGATCTGGGCATGCCAGTTAACGTTGGCTCAGAGTCAACGTGAGTGCAGTGTCAACTGCCAGTTCAAACTAGATATGGTTTGGGCGGAACAGTTCAGGTTCAGCTGTAAATATCATCCGGGTGGTTGACACGAGTTTGAATGTCGTGTGTTCGCCCGAGCCGGCATGGATACGGTGACCTTTATCTGCAGTGAAATGCAGGGGAACGCCATCGGGAGCAGCATGTTCTGGACCGTGGAATCGCTGAAGGAAGCGTGCTGTAAATACCTCGCCGAGCAACAGTCGAGGGAGCTCAAGCAGGCACGCCCGTTGGTGGTTGAGAACTTTCCAATGGTTTCTCTGCAGCATGGTTAGTACTGAATACTGAAGCTACTGTAGATTAAGGCCTTGGAAAAAAATTTGCGGCTTTAGTTCTAAGGTGTCATTTTGCAAAAGCGAAAATGAAAAAAAAAATGTAGCTGATAAGTGGGTTCTTTTGCAGAACGCGAAGAAATGCACGTCAACGATCTCGCGATTGAAATTCTGCATTGTTTGTTGTGGAATCTGGATGCCGCTACTCAGTTACGAACGAGCCAGTAAGTTGGCGAACCAAATGTTAAAACTAAGAAATCGTTAAAAACAAATTATCAGGAAAATTCTCTCGGCTGTAACGTTACTATAGCTTCTCAATGAATTTGCGCCTGATATCGCGCCGGTGCCGCTGCTTTCGGACTGCCTTTGACTCGCGTAATCCACAGATTCGCGGGTAGAATAGCGCCTACCTGATAGTTAAACATTAAAAAACAACCACATGATACTATCGTCTTTCCGGTTTAATGATACATTGCCATTGTCCTGTTTGACCGTTAATGTAACAATTATTATTGGTTAAGAAATCCGTTAAGATTCGTAAAAGTGAAGTATTGTCCGAACGTCGCTTTACAGAACTTGTGCGTTGTGGAGATCCGTACTGCATGGTCCCTGCATCTTTGAAGCTTGTGCTGCAGGAACCTTCGTTTTCGTCATTCGGCCGTTGGTCATTAAGGAGCGCTGGAACTGGTGCATAACCGAGGAACTGAAGTTCAGTGAAGCATATAAGTTTGCAGCGCTGTTACAACGCACCATTTCTCAGCGCACACGAGCAGTAGCGTTGGTTGATGAGAGAACCAAGGCAGAGAGGAGCCAAGACCGTAGTGATAGAGAATTCACATCAAGAATGGAGAGTCTTGGCAATATACTGAAAAAAAATGCCACGCAGCTGCCACTGCTTATCGCCAAGAACGGCAACGAAAACCCGTTCTATTCTAGTGTGCCATTCCTGATGCTCGAATTCGGTCTTAAGAATGGAAACTACGAGTGCTGCCGGCTGTCAAATTGGATGTCCGCATGTGAACGCCTTGTGCTGGTTAACTACACCGCATCCGATGGAACCGGCAGCAAGTCTCTGCTGCAGTTTTTCTACGAAAAAGGCCGGACATGGCCATCCGCTGAGCAATCGCTCATGTGGGATGCCGACGAAGGACGGTTAGATGTGATGACTTCGCTGCTGCGGTTCCACTGCACGGAAACAGTCTCTGAACAGTGCCGGCGTTTTTTGGCAGCCGCGAACGACAGCTGTCCAGTCGGTTCTCAGCGGGTATTGGAGAAGGTCAAGGCGGTACACACGCGCTGGGTTCAGACACTGGCTTATCCCGAGCAGTGGGCGGGGATTCGCAGGTTCCTTCAGCTGTAAGTAAAAGTCACTGCATTATCCGTCGAAGCAAAATAATGAATGGGTAAGAATGCGGTTTGTTGCTACCAGGTTCAACGACGTTAGTGACGATAACAGTCCACAATGCTGGGATGAAATTGATTTGCGACAACTGGACTTTACGCTGCTGAACAAGCTAACCTTCGCCGCGCTTGACGCTTATTATAAAACTGAATCCTAAATCAAACTGCTGTACAGATGCCACGGGTTTTGTTATACGATGTTGTTTATCAATCGACTTTTTATTCGAACGTATATTATATGCCTAAATTAGGAGGAGCTGCTGTGAATCTGTTCGTCTTAGTTCGCTTATTATCGTAAGCGTATTTCGGATTTGGGTTTCGCGTATTCTGACTTTCTGCATGGATTTGTAACCTTACATAACCTTACATTCACCCGAAAATTAACGTTTAGCATTTTTCGGCTAGCATTTAATTTTGCTAGCTCAATAAATCATTTTCTGCGCAGCAGGAAAACTTGTTTTTTTACTGTATTGTTTATATTGCTTGATGCTCGGGTTGTTGTTGTTGCTCGTCCATAATGAAGCGTAACATGAAAATTATCGTCTGGCATTACAGCAAATATTGTAGTTGCTAACGACTAACGAGCAGGCGTTGGTATTCTTTCCTTGCGCGCAGAGTGACTCACAAAGTTTGAAGGTTATTTTTGTAAGATTTCCTCCCATGTTTTCGCATCAGCTGCTGCTCGTATGTTGGTAGAACGACAATTGGCCAAGAAGCACCGCGCCGGTATCCTACAGACGTATAATTATGGAGTAGCCGAATGCCCGTATCAGGGTTCTTGCATCGTCCGAATATTCTCCCATGTGCCATCATATGAATATTCCATCAGGTGAATATTCTCCCAGGTGCCATCGGATGTTTCTTATAGATACCAAGCACATCGATGTACAATGGCAAAATTATTTCCAGCAAGTGTTAACACAATCGCTTTACCATGTACAACCTTAAACAAGCTCACGTCCGGTTACATGCACGAGTACTTACGAGTATTTGCATCAATTAGGTGTACTTACTTTTTGACCCGAAAGAAGATTTTGGTTGTTTTCTAATGTTTAAAGTTTTAATTAATCAAGGTGCGCCAGCGCTTGAAATCATTGTTATTTGGGGGTATTGCCAGTTAAAATAATGTCATCTTCTAATATTATCAGTCTGATACAAAGCATGTAAATTTTGTGAATGCCAGAATAATTTGCTATTAACGTATTTTGTTTCCTTGATTATTCTTTTTGATGCTCATGAATTTTTAAAAGGAGAAAAACTAACAAAATGAAGAGGCGATACTGCACAATTTCACAAGACTTTCTACTTGTGCATACCTGGCATTTCTTTGGTGCAACAGGTACGGGTTTGTACGTACAAATGCAAATGCCCGAGCCAGATCTGACCATAGAACGCGCAATCCGGCTCAACAGCGCAGCTGACCAAGAGAACAGAGAGAGCTTGTCGGACAGCATTCAGTATGCTGCACTCGCGATGCGTGTGTAATACATGCGTGCAGCCCCTTACACATCGCAAGCACTGCATTAAATCATTAAGTAACTTCAGACTTCAGACTTAGCAATAGATATATTGCAGCATATCATGTTACTTCTACTTGTATATTTCGTGTAGCGAGATTTTTGCTGTGAAACCTGCGGCATGACGACCTTTGTATGTATGAGAAACTTTTCAGTAGTAAATTAATTTTGGTCATTCAGCCTTCATGTGAACAGTGTGATTACGCTTTTTCCTCTCTTGGACGGACGAGCTTTTCCTCTGTTTAATTCTTGATGAGCAGAAGTTTCGATTTCTGCAAAATGTCGGACAGTGTAGTGGGAGATCTGTCTGCGTCTTTTCCTTGCTTTTTCCATGAATTACCCGAGGAATCCGTCGTGCACGTCTTCTCGTTCCTGGACATCATTGATCTGACCAACTGCACGGCGTAAGTTTCTTAGCATCAGCAGCAGCCCCACTATCCTTGCAATCCTGGAGTATTATTCGCACAAATTCTGTTGACAGGGTGTGCAAACGATGGGCCGACATCATGGGCGATTCGCGTCTGCGGAAGACCGTCATTTTCGACCTGACCAAATGGGAGACCTACCATCCAATGGCGCTGTTGCCACGCCCACCGCCTTCCGATGCGGACGCGTTTCGGGAAGCGCTCAAGGTGGAGAGCGAGTGGCGCCGTCAGCTGCTGCAGCGCTTCTGGACGCCGAAGACCCGCAACGTCATCTTCCGACGCCCGCCCGGGGCGGCGGCCCCATCTGACTGCTGGATGCAAATGGGCTTTGCTGAGCGTGAAGAAGGCCAGCCAGAGCAGGTCGTGGCCCTTGGCTGGCATTATACAATGTACGACAAAAAGAGGTTGAACCGATCAGTCGGTTCGCGGTTCAAAATAACCTCGCAACGACACGCCACCATTAAAACTTGGATACTACTACTTTCAGACGCTCGCGCTCCGTGAATATCAAGTGCAGCTATACTAGTTGCATATCAGGTGTAGAAAAAATTTTAAACTTTTGATACTAAACTGTGGCTGTTTATGAACAAGCACAAATTCTAGCCATTTTGCTTTCCATAGACTTAAGCATTGATTGCAAGCCAAACGGTTATGCGCACAGATCCTATGCTGTGCCCACGAGAAAGCAAAATGGCTAGAATTTGTGCTGTTCGCCATAAACAACCACAGGTTTAGTATCAAAAGTTTAAAATTTTTTTCACCTTTTGATATGCAACAGATATTTACCACGCGCTACTCGATTTAACGAAGCTTCTGCCGGACGCATCCGAGGGCGGCCAGCAGCACAGGGATTGTCTTATTACGGTGCAAAACATTAACATGCTCACTGCGGATCTCAGCAACTTCCTGCCAAAGTTTGTCAAATCGGTGATCCTGGAAAATGTCACTATGCGCTGCTATTTCTACACCGGAATGTTCCCCCACTCGACAAGCAGCCACAGGTTCGTGTTATAAACCTTACGTCTTACACTTACTGGTATCAATATTATTATTAGTATGACTGTATTACACTGGATTCACCAATAGTTTAGTTAAGTTTTGGCGTGTTAGGTGACGCTAACTGTGCTCGTGGATAAAGCGGTGGTGGTGCGCGAGAACGGGGTGTGGCCATGGACCGAAGAACCCACTGACAACTTTATTGAATACATCACGCGAATTCGTCATCGTAACCTGCAGTTCTTCGGCCGGTTCGTCCCGGAAGTGTTGACTGCTGAGGAGGAGAGCCTCCTGGAGGAGAAGCTGCGGTCGGAGGGGCCCACTGGCTGGACGCTGTCCCGGTTCTTCACCAAGTAAGTCTAGACCATGCGGTTTCTGAGAAACTTGACATGCAATTTATAGCCGTTTTCTCAGGGTCGTGAAATTGCTGGGTGAAGAGGATGTGCATGATTTGGCGCCCATCAGTTCGTTGGGATTAACGCTGGAGCGGGTTCGGTCCTTCCCGCGCTGGCTGCAGTACTTGATGGTGGAGCTGCTGAAGGACCCGTCCATCGCAGTCTTTCCCAATATGTAATGTCTTTTAGCGGACCGCTTACTGGAAAGGTTTCCCATGGTCGATGTGTGCATGGTGTTAGTCATTCCGATCCTGCTTGAATGTGTGTTCCTTCTCGAATGTCTTTCTAACATTAAGTTGAAATTTTGGGCACTGTGCCTTTGCGTCGAATTTTTTTCTGTGAAGTCATTGGTTGTATCATGTGCCGCAAGTGCATAGATCTGTATTCGGAATGGTGACGGAGAGATCAGTACGATAGGAATAACTACCGTAATCTGTCCTACCGACCAATGAGCCAGCTAATATCTCAATGTGGCATAGCTAAGTCTAAGAATCTGCGCGAAGCGAGACCTGCATCTCCGCCGATAAATTTAATAATAACTCGGAAACTGCCAAAACTCAGAATGATGAAACTCACGATGTCAAAGTACTGCCTCACACGGACTTGTATAGACACGGCGCATCCGGTTAGAAAAACCCAGTATCACCAAAACAAAAGAGAACATTCTAGAAAGTAAATGGAATTATAGCAAGTACGAGTAAAGGGATTAAAGTACGTACTAATCGCTACGAGTACGGCTATATTCCGTCAATGGCACGTTTACCACAAAAATATTTGTCGTAACTTGTTCTTTGTTTTCAAAAGAAAGTGCTGCTAAGAACGTCTTCATTCGGTACGAGATAGGTGATAGCAGTTAAACGAATGGAAATTGTGGAAGAGCTCCGAGAGATATAAAGTCAACCACGTTGCTATGTGCGTTAGGCAGCCGGAAGTCCCTGCAATGCTTTCGTATGAAATGCTGTACTTTGTGTTCGTCGCAGAATGTTACTGTAATCAACCGGTTAATACATCTCGTTGGAAATAAGTGCTGTACTCTCGTACTCTAGCCCGGCACTTGACGGAAATTTGTACGCTATGAGCGACACGATGCAGTATACGTAACCGGATTCGTTCAACCGATTCGCGTCCTAACATGCACTAGCTGCAAGCGATGTCTGTGAATGGTGAATGCGCACGTACTCTGTACAGGTGCGTGTTGCTGCACTGTACAAATTTCCGTCAACTGTACCGTAAGGTCAGGGTACAGTACTGTACTGCGCAACCAAAGGGAAATCCGTCATACGCATTTTGAAATACGCCTGCTGGAAACGACGCAGTGTTGTCAGTGAGTATCGTGCAAAATGACAGAAGCATGCATTGGTAAACGGCTAAACGCTGTCCTACTACCGTGGGCACACGACAGAAGTTGCCGTACCAATCTGCTTGGACAAGGTGGTCCAAGTGCTCCGGAGACCGGAAGTTAATGTTACGCCGATGAATTTATGGCTGGCTTTACTGAATTCCATATTCTTCAGCCTGATCACAAAACCACTGCATGAGTATATACGTTCAGCCAGAAAATTACAAAAGATACTGGGTAATAATATTGACGTTAATTTTTTGCTCTTTGTTATGCTAGTAGTAGTTCCACTCCAAAAAAGCTTGTTTTCCAACCTCTGATCCACTAATTTGTGTTCGAAGACGTTCGGACAATAATTCGCTCATATAAATACTCCCAACCGGATAATCCGACTGCAGAAGTTTCTACACTAGCGTATGTATATTATACTCGTATATGATATTAGCATCATCCCCGACGAGGAATTCTATAAAATGCAGGTACTACCACGGCACCACCACGATCACCGTTGGCTGAATGCTATACAAAAAAATCACTAAGTAAATCTGGTTTTCTCACCGAGTATCCGTAAATCTGCTGATTTATGGGGGTGTTTTCGGAAAAATTTGTGCTTGTTTTACCAGTTTATGCGTGCAGCTGCTGGAAAAGGGGGTGTGGATCACGGGACGCCCATAAACTCGTTACGACTAACACTGGAACGGATTCGATCGTTGTTAGGCAGGACACCGCTGGATTTGCTGGAAGATCTTCCGTGTAAAGTGTTTTGACCGTTCACCTCCTAGTTAAATGTAATTTCTGAAATCGTGGTTGATTTTCTAATATGCGGTGAGTACGCTTATTCAGGTAGTTTTTATTGAATTTGTTGCATCCCATTAAACCTCCCGCAATGACGCGTTCGATTTACGGTACTTTCAATTGTGCATTCTTAATTCTAATACGTGGGATGTTATTTAGGTTGAAGTTTTGCAGAACAAGTTAGTTCAGATAAAAGTCATAGAAAATTTAACATGAACTGACAACATTGTTTCCGTCTTCCCCTCCAGTGCCACCAGAACAGCTGTTAGCGGAAACGCTAGTTGCTCGTGCTTGTATTTATTACACTGCAACAATCCTTTTCTTAACGATTCAATGGGTCTCCCTGTCACTGGACGCTAATATGTGTGAATGCGAAGAAATCTGCCTGCTCTGAAATTCTTATACCCTGATGCACGTGTTGAACGAACGCATCCTTATGTAAGCCTTCACGCTTCGTGGAAGATAATGCATAATTACATATTAAATATCGTCCAAACAGCTATTCTTCCATAAGCTACAGACGTCAGAGTATAATTAACTCTTCAATCGCGTGCGGGGCTCTTCCCGCGAAAACCGTTGCCATATCAAAGACTCCACCGACCGGAAACGTCGCCAGTTGGGAGAAAGGCCCAACAAAAGGCTTATTTCCGATGTTGCGATTCTGTTTGAATTTGACCTTTGGGGAATACCCACTGGCATAACAGCTGTATTAGTGCTTTATGCAAGGCAGTGTTATGCCACCCACACATTCCCAGTCCCACACCATCGCATTCCCTTTCAGACCTGCATAAAGCTTTTAAAAATGTTTTAAACCAAAGGCGCTGCTTTATCTGAACGGCTTGTCAACAAATCTTACCATTTTTGGCGCAAGTAGGATAACCAGTTTACTGCTCTACCGTATAAGTTTTCATAATTAATGTTATAACCTTTCCTTCATAACTGCAATCAAGTACATTAACTGGACATTGCTTGCTAATTTTTAATAAATCCCGAGGCACAGCACTTTCTGCCATGACAACTCGTGGTAATTCTTCCAATTTCTCAAATGGATTTGCCACCAACTTCACCGCTATACCGGCTTCATCTGCAGAATTCACAGCCATTACCGTGACGCGCTTTGTCCTCAACACCGGCGTCGTGCTGATCATGCTAAAAGACCGAAGCCTCCACTCGTCCTTCAACGTTTACGTTCTCGTTTTGCTATGCGGCAACATCTTGTACGCCGTAGTGGATGGTCCTCTGAAAATTCTGACCTTCGCTACCCGTTGGTGGTTGGGTAATGTAGCCTGCAACGTAGAGGTGTATTGTATACAGATTCTGGCTTCGGTGATCCTGCACACGCACGTTCTGATCAGTCTCAACCGCCTCTGGGCGCTATTCTGGCCGGTGTCCTACCGGCAGCGCCACACGACGACAGTCGCCTGGCTGATCTGCTTAGGCATGGTGGTATACGTCCACGTGTTTCAGTTACCAGCAGTTATTATTGACGCGCTGTATTACCGCAATCTGGACCGAGGCTGCTTCTTCAACCGCGCCGCTCAGAAAACTTGGGCGACTGTTCAGAGTGTCTGGTTCTTCCACATCCCCATCTTCTTTGTCCCGGCGTGCTATCCGTTATTGTTGTGGAAGCAATTGAGTCGGCGGAAGACGTTAAAGCGCACGGGTCCAACAACCGATGTCAGTTCGATGCGAGGCAGTCGCAACGCCGCCAGTCGCCGACGAACGAAAGGATCGCGGTCGTTTATCGTCACCAGTTTGTTTACGCTGGGATTTGCCGTGAGCTGGATGCCCAGCGATCTCTACTATATTTTGGTGGACTGGATGCCAATGGGTCAGCTGGAGACGTTGCGCAAAGTGCAGACATCGATGAATCCTCTCCTGTCTCTACTGGATCCCATATTTTTTAGCCTAACGATGAAACATCTACAAGACTTCATTATACGGTTGTGGCGGAAATGTACAGCATGGCTAAAACGTTTTTAAATTCGGCTCATGTACCGAAAAATGTTCGTATCATCGTTTGGTACTGGAGCAGCACTTGTGCGGCTGTTAGTTTCTTATTTCTTCAACTATGTTTTTTTTAAATAGCTTTCCATTTCTTCCTTTATAAATTTTCTTGCTGAGATGCTCGTACATGTGTGAATATATGTAATGGCAAAAATGCATCCTTCCACTAGCTATAAGACGTTTCGCAAAACTTTCTCGAAATGTCCGATAATTTTACCGCAGTCGTCTGAGCACGCGTTTCTAGTGTTTGCATTTCCTGCAAGCCAGAATTTTGGGGAACAAAAATTCAGCCATTTCACACCCCTTGTCCACAGAAACGTCCGACACGCTGAAGCGCGTCTACAACAATTTATTAATGTGTCCCCCGTGTCGAACACCAGTTGCGCAATTCCGGCAATAGTGCTCCCATTTCCGATGCCAAACGTAGAAAGGGGATATTAGTCCCTAAGGTAGAAGTCACCGACACGACGCCCACCATGCTTTCGGCTTTGTATCTAACCAAACAATTCATACCGACGACGTCGTTTATGCCTCCAGTATGGGCGACGCTGACCACTAATTCGACTGGTTGTCTGGCGTCCACTCGCCGTCCAGATCGCACAAGCCCTTGTATGGGTACTGCACAGAGAAGTCATACTTCTATCGAATCCAGCCAAGCATGGAGCTTGTTAACGCCTAGTAAGACACCCATGAATCGGCAAACCAAGAAAAATAGATATAATTTTAAACCAATTCCTTTAAAATTTTCAAAGAAATTTTAAAACGAGTAATCATGTTCTATAACGTGTGCGCTCAGTGGGTATAACGTCTACATGTTCAGACGTTTACACATTTTTTACATATTACTGTATATTAGTTAATAACGTACTGCTGTGCTAGCATTATTAAGCTGACAACAAGACTGATGCTTAAAGTTAGTAACAGTAAAGTTAAAGTTAGTTAACGAACGCTTTTCCAAAAATGCCGCTCGATTGTTTATGTCAGTTAAGCGAGCAGCTATTGGTGCTATCAAGAAATATCGAGGATCTGAAACCAGTGCAAAACAACAAATTGCCCGTTGGAAACTGCAAAGATAAAAGTAAGCCGCTTTCCTTGTGTGCTACGATATGTGTCCAAATGCGCGTACAAGTAGAACACGCTAACATTATCTGCCGGTTGGATCGAAATTCAATTGTTCAAAGGGCAAAAAGCGTTGAATTGTGCTGCAGCAAGCAACTGGTAGTAACTGCTGTAATACTATAAGGGCTATGTTTTCCGTGCATGTACGATACACGGCAAGCTGGTGAACGGTGAGCGGGTGAACCATAAGGCAGTTAACTAACGCCAGCACGAAGGTAATTTCGGCGGTTAATGCAATCTTTGCATTAGTGCTTCGTTCTTCACATTACAAATTATTATTCAATCGCCATATTCCCGGTGCATCGTTGCTTGTTGTAACATTTCTGTTCAATTTTTTTGTAGCCAATCTTCCGGTAAAATGCGTTCAGGGGCAAACGTCAAACATTTTCTTCTTGTTGCTTTTGTTCTGGCCGCGTTCTGGGTAAGAACAAGAATCCTCTGTTATTCACGCTGCATTCCTTTGCCCGAACACAAAATTGCGTACCTAATCAATTCCTTTTCAATGTTCGACTTTTATCACTGGTTTTTTTTCGTTATTACTGGAGCATGCCAGTTGCCCAGTACTACTACTGTTTTGCAGCTTTTCCAGGCCAATGTAATGCCCCGGAACAGGGACTTCCTGGACGAGTATCGCATTCAGCCAGGAATGGCGTTGGGTAGCGCTTACTACGCCCCTCACAAATCGGCAAAAACCCCACTAAAAATCCCCCAGTGGACGCCGGTGACCAAGCCGTACTACGCCGCTGCAGGTGCCGGCGACGGACCAGCAGGTTGGCGCGGACAGCACGTGTACACTCCGAAGAGTCCCTGCAGCCGGTGCATCCAGCCCACACCCACCAGCAGTTCCCCGGCCGCAGCGCCATCAACCTGCCACGTCAGCACACGCTGGCGACGAATCACCGAGACGACGACGACCTGCTCACCCACCGTCTGTACCGCGCCGTGCCTTACGTTGTCCACCAGCTTCACGGAAACCGTTGTCGTTTCCATGTGTATTCGGACAGCTCGAACCGTTTACTTAACGACCGTCAGAGAAGTCGATAGCAGCACAGTTACGCTGGTCGTTTCGAAGATAGCACCGGTACTGTGCAACCGGCACATCGGTCTCCAGACGCCTGACCCCGGCAGCGGTGTGACGCTGTCGACCGACGGGAATCCCTGCTACAGCATCGCCGTCACGCCGGCCCCGATCGTCAGTACGACCTGCACCCTGGATGTGCAACAGACCACCTATGAATCCGGTATCACCACCGGGTCCGACGGCTCGCCAACTCCCAATGCTCAAGCACAGCTGGATCCGGTTACGTCCAGCGCAACTACATGCACGTTTTCATGAGCATCGGCTTTCGGGTTTATCTGTTCGCGTTCGTGTCAATCAAACTGGAACAGGCCTGCTTTTGATGGCTTCTGCTGTTCTTACCGGCTAAACTGATTTCCTTGAAATTTTGCCTCATTAAAAATAAATTCAGATGGTGAATGATTTTCGTTTCGTTTCGTTTTTCTAACTTCGAAGGAGATTTGTGACTTTTTCAAATCACTTCGTCGAACGGAACAATTTTTATTAAGCATGATAATAAAATTATATTAACTGAACTGTATGGTGGTGGTTAGCTTACCAACCGGAAAACAACGGAGCAGGTTTTTAAAACACTCCACATTTTTCCTGACTAGGATTTAGGGGCGTGGCAAGGCATGAAATTGAAGATTTAGTTGAGATTTAGTCGACGAAAAACAAGAATAAAAGTGCACTATGTACGTACAGACACGACAAGTGACGTCATTTTATTGTGCGGTGCTCCATTTCTAAGGTGGCTCTTGTCTTATAGTTTTTTTTTTAAATTCCTTAGTTTCCATAATTTTATAGTTTTGTGTGGAAAAGATCGATTGTCGAATTCTTCGCACAGATCATTATGCTGACCTCTTTCCACTCAGAGCCATAGGTAGGCACACAATCAATGGCTGTTTTTAATCGGCTTTAAGCAGTGTATACATCAACAACGTATCTGTAGTCAACATGTCACGAGCCAAAGACAACAAACAGCATGTAAATAATGATAGGCATTACCAGCAATAAAATTAATAATACTCTCGTGGCAATCATAATAATCATTACTTACGTACAGTTCTTGTATTTACTTGTTTTAATATTGCAAAACAGAGCAGAGAAGAAGCAGTGGCACTGGCCGCGTGGCCGGTGTGAAATCGCTCATAGAGCGAAATCGTCCAGATTGTGTGGAAGTACCGATGAATGCCGCTGAGTACATACCAGTACGATAAGTTCGGCAACCTTTATTCTTCACACGAGAGGGACTCTTAACACGAGATTGTCACGTCTTCGTAAAGTCATTTATTCACTTAGCACTTCACAGTCATACTGGCAGCTTACGCTGCTGCTGTTCACACGTTGCTATGTCACATCATCACAGCACACCTATCCAGTTGACACATCCAGTCAGCTATAATAAAATTCCTCACAAGCTGCACTGTTCTACATGTGAATGCTTCGACTGTAGTACAGATCCTCAGAACGGATAAAATTTTCTCTGACATTTTTCAAATTGCTGTGGCCATAACGTCTCACCTACAGTATATTGTTTGCAATGTTCTGATTTGCGGTTTCGCAGGAAAGATCAATAATTCACCTTCATTGCTGTTGTCAGCGACTCGACTGTTAAGATTTCGGATTACGGAACTGGAATGGCATATCGTCTTGGTAAGTTCTACTCTACCATTGTACTACATTCCAGAAACCATTTTCTGATGTTTTGAGATTATAATTATAAGATGCGATATTTTGAGAATTTTTTAAATAATTATGAGTGTATAACCACGTGGAATGACCGTATTCTAAAACGTACGTAAATTGCAGGCAAATCGGACAAAGATGACGGAAATCTGTTCAAGAAAATAGATAAGGTGCGGCGGTAATACAAATATAATAATATATAGTTCGTATTCATTATGATATGCGCAAGATGAACTTAATAATATATGATAATTATGATCACCATCAGCGTGTTTGAGGCTGAACAGTATTTTGTCCACAGGAATACCGAAGTTTAAAGGAAGAAATAATCAAAGAAAGGGACGAAGACCGACGTATGCAGCGTTTCCGTACCCGTACAGATATACAGTATGCTTTACATCTATAGATCGTCGCTATTTTTAGAAAAGGTCATTACACTCCAGCAGAAGGTGGCCGAGTGCACCCACACCATCGAGCAACAGAAGTCCCGACTGGACGATCAGCAGTGCGCGATCAACGCAAAGAATCGCATAGTTGTCGCGCTGCAGCAGCGGCTGACGGACGGTGAGGCGCGTTCCCTGGTTGAGCAGCAGCGCTTCCGGGATATGGAGGAGCGCCTAGCGGCGGAACAGCGGCGCAATGCGGAGCTAACGGCGGTGAATAAGAAGCTCATGGGCTTCACCACGGCACTGCACGGGTTCATGGCGACCATCGCGATGTTGTGGCAGATGTGGTGGTAAGGGGGGGGTGAACCTTGTGGCCAGCTGCCTCAACTGTACCACATCGCTGTTTTTAGGTTCCGCAAGGACCACTGCCAGTTCCGAATCCGCTTTTGGCTGCAGTGTGAGTATGAATTATTGATGTGCGTAATACATATGTATATGTGATCATATTTTTCTTGTTTTGCCAGCAATTTATAATTCTTTTTAATTTATAAGCACTGAGCCCTATAGTGAATCCCTTAATCATCCAACATGTTACAATGTTTGCATTTTTTTCCTATCGATGCGCATTTAGGCTAGTATAGCTGTAGATGCGTGGATGTGCAGTTAGTTAAATTTTGAGTAGAATGTTTCGGCTGAGCACCAGCAAATAATTCTGCCCGTTAATTGTAGAAATCCCGCGGTCTTTGACGGTGCAGCGGAGGTCCTGCCAGCTCCGCGCGATGCAGCAGCGGATCCACTGCCAGCGGAAATGGTCGAGCCGGTTGAAGAGGACGGCGAGCTGATGACTGATCCACAGCTGCCAGTTGATGCCGAAATAGCGCTCGCCATCGTCTCTGCTGTACTAAGCAGTTCTACGACGTCTAGCGACGACGACGGTGAAGGCAGCGGTAATCTACACACCCTGGAAATGGCGCAACCGACGGCGGCAAATGAGGCCGCCCATAATGACGGCGGGAGTAAGGTGGCATGGCCGGTGACACCTCTATCAGTTATGGAGATTAACCATGCCGGCGGGAGTAAGCGGAACCATTCGGAATTGGGGCATCACCAGTGCTATGGAGTGTACGACTTTGAAGCGTAACTGCGCGGGTATGCATGTGGGAAGAATGGTTGTGGGATGGCCTTCCAGGAATAGCACAATTACGAGTAGCAGCGCGTATGCGTATACCTTTTTGCTGCAATCTGTTCTGTTCAGTTCGGGTGTTTTACGCGATTCATGGGCACTTGACAATTTCAATCACTAACCCCATGATTGTCTCAACTAAACTAAATTAAATTAATCCTGTACAGTCCTCTTTTGTGAGTGGAATGGGAAATGTTGCCATTAGATATTGTCAGTGTTTTCTGTAGAAGCTACCTGCTTCCGTTTCAAGGAGGTAGGTTTTGTTGTTCCCGCCTTTTTAATTGGTACGGATGTTAGGTATGTACAGTAATAATTATGTTGCTGCACTTACTGCATCTGAATGTTACACAATCTAATACACAATCTAAATATTTGATTCGAGCTTGGTTTTTTTAATAAATGCTGTTAATTGTGTGTACTCTCATCGATTTTGCGTGTTTAGACACTTCCTACAGTCTATATAAACGTATAACTATCATAAGTCTTCAGCCATACATTTTCGCCATCTTATACAATTGAACCGTCAAAATATTACTTAGATGTCAAAAATTTCCCACAAGCAATCAAATTTTGACAGCAATCAAACTATATGCTACGCTGTATGTAATTCGAAAATCTACAACGTTGGTAGGGTGCCGGTTTCCGCAAAGGGACAAGGTTGCTAGCCAGTACTAATGGCCACCTCCCGTTAAACGAATTTCACAATATCAAACCTAAACGGTTAAGGAAAAGCATTTGCGAGGATTCACTACTGGGTCTCTTCAAAGGGCATTAACACGGTGCAGAAGACTTTTATGTTCTTCCATCCCAGGAAATCATATATTACGTCATTGCACGAACTGAGTTCCGCACAGTGTCTTGACAACACTACAGTCTGCAACGGTAATGTCACGGTTGTCACCTACAATCATATTGTACAGATACTAGTACAAGTTGCACGGTTGTACGACGATATAATACAGTTCCATGAAGACAGAAATTACTGGCTTTGTCTGCTGCCTGTGAATGTGTGTTACGGTCACTGTTACCCGGGTGCCTGCACCTGGGTCTCACTGTCTGTAGCACAGAACTGGCATAAACGCTGAACTGTTTGCGGCAGTGTGGTCGGAAAAGTACAAAAGAAGTCACTTTAGCAAGAAGGTGTCTGGCGTCTAGTCCGGTTTCTCTAAGAGCGAAATTCTGTCTCCGCTTTCAAATTCTTCCCGGATGTTGGATTTCACCGACATACAATGCTTTAAGCGTGGCCTAGCGCAAACCTTTTGAAAACCGAACAGTTTTTCCTGTATTTCGAATTTATTTTGGTAAATAATAGGGCTCTCTATTGAGGCTCATACTCTATAATAAGGCTCATACTCTATTGAAGCGAAATACAGTAGTCAAAAACTATTTTGCCGCAAAGGTTGCGGTCAAATTAGCCACTTCGAAAATAGTAAATATTAGGGTGTGGCTATTCCCACCACTTTTAGGCTATTCGCGCCGCTGTCTTTTAAAAATGAATTCTAACACCACCTCTCGACTTGCCACCGCCTTTGCACACCTTTTTTGGCTGCTCTAGGCTCTTTATTGCATCTTCCACACAAATAAGTTGTCTGCATCCTAATTAATGACTTGGTTGGGTTTATAGACTCCGAATTAGTGGCGTTTTTCTCTTTAATATTCGGTTCACCGTCGGTGCGGATTCGGTGGTAGGGTTACGTTACCCAAAAGCACGCCCATCATGCTTTTTGCTTTTCATCTGACCCATTCGTCTAATGAGGTCGCGTTCGGCTGCGGCTTCCTGCTGATTTGGAGAATGGTCAAGGCCGGCTCCATCCTCCACTGGATCGCCATTGCTATCCTTATTGTCAACGTCTACACCACGGGGGGCGTGGTCTTTACCTCTCAAAAAGCCGCCACCCCAAGTCGTGACAGGTCTGCAGTACAGTTTTGCACTGACAGTCACTGACTGCAGATTCCGTTTTCCTCAGTTGGTGGTTTTTGGTGTGGCGGCAACATCGCCAATAAAGTCGATGCTTCCGGATTGTTTTGTCAAGGATACGCGTGACGCCCATACGGCCCCGCGTTATAGGATCTACAGCTAAATGTCTGATATCGGGAACTCCACCAACCCTATCGACGCTTCTCCGTAATGCACATTCGATGAAGTACCCATAAATGTTGTAAACAGCCACACCGGGCACACGTGCTCGCGCAATTCAGCCTCATCGTCGTCCTCCACAGAGCAGTTTTTTGCAGGTGTTGTGTGATCGTGTGGATTCCGTCCGTTTCCGCTTATTGCTTCCGGTGAGTTACGGGTGAGCTGGTGGCCTTCTCATTCGGCACTGCCGTTCATGAGGCGGTCTTCTTCGGACGAGAGATTTCCGCTGATTTTGGGATTGCGCTGCATTCGCCCTTCTCTTCGCTGGTTGTTGTGGGGCGGTTGACGCTATTTGTCATTCGCTATCTGCGTAGGAACTGCAGCCGTCTGGCTATTCATCCCATTGTGCACGGCGACATCGCCGGCTGGGAGCTGATTGGGTGCTGCTAACGAAGCAGCGTCCTCGTAGGGAGCAGGTGGGATAACCTGTGCCATCGGCAATCGGCGCGGCGGTAATCTCGGTTGTGTAGGTTATCGCTGTGTGCAGGAATGCCAACACACAGCGTCCGCTGTCATAAGCTGCAGCGGCCTTTTTAATTAAATTACAGTAAGTACATTACAAAAAAAGGAATTATTCTTGAGATTTCTTCGTTTTTACTTGCTTTGAATTGTGTTACCAGAGAGGGCACAGCACACTTAGTGGGTTGCATATTTTTGCTACTGCAATTCATTATGTAGTCTTATTACAGTCGTTTCTGGCGTTCGTCTGGGAGATTTTGTGTTTTCCTTATTACTGCTTCTTTTTTCCTGCTTTTTCTCCGCTGCGGATGTGTTTGACATTAAAAAGATTCTACGGGTACCAGTTCGGCCATATTAAGTCGTTTGCCGTGATTTATTCTTCGTTTACAAAACGAAGAATGAGTTGTGCAGGGACCGTGCGCGTGGCGGTCGGTACGAGAAATGTTAACACTCACCAGGGCACATTTTCCGGGGCCAAAATCAGAAAAATACTCATTTTTTTAAGAAATATAGTATAGCATCGTATTATTATTAAAAAAATAATTTAATCTGCTGACACTTAAAGGGCGTGGCCAAATAAAATTATTAGTACGTCATACTACATGCAATTCTTAATGCAATAGCTCGAACAGGCTGTTTGTACATATAACAGTAATATGTAAAGCACGAAAGTTTCATCTTTTGCAGAAACGTAGTATACCACCATATTATGATTAACAAAGTAATTTCGTGTGCAAAGGGTAAGACGACACACTACAAACTCCACTAAATTTTGGTAGTTATGATTCAATGCGTTATTGCAACAGTACAAACTGTCACAGTGCCGTTGATTTGTAATGATAACAGTTAAATCATGATTCAACAATCCCTAAAACTAGTTACAATAAATCTCTAGTACAGTAGCTCTCAAGCAATTAATTTTTGCATTCAGACATGAGTATCCATAGTTTATTTATTCCTCGCAATTCTGCGCTGGGTCTGCAAGCTATTCAACAAACAGCTGCAAAAGCATTGCGCTGGTGCTGTGCATTAGTATGTAGTATTACGTATTAATTAATTTCGCTCGGCCACACCCCGTGAGTGTCAGCAGATGAATTTATTTTTTTAATGATACGACGATAATATGCTATGTTCCTGCAAAAGATGGTATTTTTCTGTTTCTGGACCCGGAAAACATATCCTGGTGACTGGTCACTGTCAGACGACTGGAAATTCTGAAAAACTTCCAACAAACTTAAAGCAAACCACGCTGTCAGCGCTGCACGCCGGCGTAAGTCTCCGGGTTGAGCTCGTTTGAGATGATACGCCTACTAATGCGACCCTACATGTTGGATCCGGTGTCGACAGTGGTTGGTGATCATGCGCAAAGACAAAAGCATGCAATGTTGTCCTGCCGACGCCGCCATACGACAACATGACCTTTCTATACACATTACGTTGCGACGTATTAACGTAGTTTATCCGTTGCTCCAAAAACTAATCACTATTGCGTTAAAAACTGCAAACGCTTTACCTAAGTCAAAGTGTGCGTACTTGCACTTGGACTCACTGTCCTGTTTTCTGTATAGACTTTCGAACGTGTCAGATGGCGCTGAATAAGCGCACATGACCCTCGACCGAACAGCACGAAAGTTTCGAAGTTTATTTTGAGACTGCCACACAAAACAACCATCTACTGATATGAGCGGAATCTGTAGCCAGTGTCGCTGCGCTGCAGAATGCAGATCCGTGAAATAGCGGAAAACGGAAAATCCCCTAACACATGTACAAAACTGGAGCCACAATAAGCAAAGCAGTTGCAACATTCAACAAAATATACGCCAGTCCAGGGAGCTCGTTTGGATATTCCGAGAGTACCAGTCGTGATCCGTTGCCGCACCCACTTGTCTACTTGACTATCTAGGGCCTGCTTTCCTTATACTGATACTGTGTTGCGTTATTAATGTCGTGGGTCAGAGCGGTCAGGGCACGGAAGGCGCACGTATCGCCGAAATCCGCCGGTTTACAAAAGGGCTTCGCGTCGGAGTGCATCTGCTGATCAACGTCAGCGGCAGTGTGACAGTAAGGCGCCAGCGTCTTGTCCACAATGTCGTCGATGGCCTTCAGCTCTTTGGCTGGCATTTTATCCGGTCGAACACGGGTCATCACGTGGAAGACCGGGTCGTCACAAATGCCGGTTTTGTAGTTGGTGGCGCGGCAGATGTATGCGATGTACACACGATTATAATCCACGTACAACATGTGGATGTTATTGGTCACTAAACAAAATTCAAAATTGTTTGATTTTGGTTAACTGGTTTGTTTTTGAACCGATGCAGATATTAATATTGAAATAATAAATCTAGATTGCAACGTACCAGGTATGTCGGAATCCACTGAAGACAGCGCTTTGCCGGGGCACTGTCCGTTGTGTCCGTATAAGCCGAGAAACAGCCGATACACACAATCCGTATCATTAGGATTGTTGTACTGTGAAATGTGCAGGATCATTCCGGTAGCTGGAATGTTGGTAAACGCCAGCCCGGTGCGGTTCAGCGGAAGGTGGTCAAGCGAAACTGTACACCAAATATTATGTATTGCTATTAACGAAATCATGTACATGTACGACCTGTGGTACATGTACGACCTTCGTATTCGCGTGGTAAAGAATTATTTAACCGTGATTATTCCTCAGATCCTTGGCTACCGCTATTCTGCTATTGCTGTGTGCAACTGTGTACAGCGGTCAGTACATCTGCTGCACCGCCAGAGTAAACATCAATAAACATTAATGCAGTATTATACGGTACGTCTACAATACTTCATAAAATCGAAATGAACAGTTGACAAGTTGTGGAAATTTTAAGGAAATATAAATACAAACGCAATTCGTACCCTTTCGGGTTCCGGTATGGGCACCGTTTTCACAGTGATTGGGACGCCGCACCCGACTTTCCTTATTCGATTTCCGGAGGCAGCAGTTACTTGTTGACTAGCCAAAAGAAGTGGCTTACCAGCAGGAGATCGCTCCGGTTTCTTCTCGGGATTGAGTGGATTCTGTATGGCCTGTGCGATAATAAGGATCATCGATAGGCCCACTGAAAAAAATTACACTGCCTAATCTTGATAGGTGGAGTACTGAAGCAGTTCCTGTTCTTAAATTGTAGACAAGTTGTTTGGTTTCTAAAACAATTAATAAATTAAACACAATCTAATTAAACATGCCGTAACATCATCACATAATTATACTCTGTAGTCTATACTGCGGTAACTTACAAGTTACCACAGAAAGGCGGTGTAGAAGCAGCAGTTCATGGTGCGCGCTGCTTCATCGAGAATGCCGTCAAAAGCGACAAAGCCCAAGCCTTTTTGAAGCTGGATGTAAGAAATGCGTTTAATTCGCTTGACCGGAATAAAATCCTGGAAGCAACGGAAGAATTTCTGCCACAATATTACCGTTACGTCTGGCAGTGTTACGGCGCACCATCAGTCCTGCTGCATGGCGCCTACCGCATCTCTTCACAAGCAGGAATACAACAGGGCGATCCCAAAGGTCCGCTACTATACTGCCTTGCCACCATCAAACCGCACCGTCACCTGAAATCAAAATTCCGTGAGAGCTTTTTGGATGACGATGCACTGGGAGGCGACCCAGAAGACGTATACGATGACCTGTGTGCTTTGCGAGAAGCGCTGAAAAAGGCCGGGCTGCATCTGAATATCTCAAAATGCGAATTGGTAGTAATTGGAGGCTCCGAAATCGATCGCCGAAGAGTAACTGACGCATTCCTTCAATCGTTTCCTGATTTGCGGCTGCCACATCTGAATGAATTAAATTACCTCGGCGCACCACTCCACGATGACGCGGTAGCAGGCACCCTAGCTGCTGAAACCGAGAAGATTGCCCGGATGACTCAGCGTTTAACTCTGCTACCTGCCCACCACGCGTTGTACCTTTTGAAATGCAGCATGGGTCCAGTAAGAATGATCTACAGGTTGCGAACTGCACGGTGCTACCTGCAAGCAGAGTTGCTGCGACAGCTCGACAAATGATCATCGACTGTCTGTCCAGAATTACAAATGTGGATATCACCGACGCCATATGGATGCAAGCGGCACTTCCGGTCGCACATGGTGGTCTCGGAATCCGGAGCATTGAGAAGCTGGCCCTCCCGGACTTTTTGGCCTCGGCTTACTCAGTTGCTAAACTGACAAGTGAGTTAGTGGATTTCGACCCGGAAATTTACTGCCGCAGCGCCACAGAAGAGTGGCAACGAATGAGCAAAGCTGATCTCCCAGCCTTTGAAACCAGAAAACACCAGAAGATTTGGGGCGAACCGATCATTCGGGACACGGGGGAAACCCTACTGGTGACAGCCCAGTCGGACATGAGTTTAAAGCGTGCCTTTGCTTCCGCCGGTATTTAAACGGAACTGGAACCACCTGGTACTTGCCTCACCAATGGAAAGCGCCCAGACGGAGTGACCTTGGTTCCGTGGGAAAGAGGAAAAATGTTGACCTGGGACGCCACATGTGAGTGCACGGTAGCTTTGTCGCACATCGCGGCAACATCGAAGCATGCGGCGCGCGCAGAGCAGGATAAAGTGGCAAAGTATCGGGAACTCACCCGAGATTACCTGTTCCGTGCAGTTGGCGTCTAAACACTCGGACCACTCGGACCGGACGCCTCTCGTTTGGTCACCGAAGTCGGGAAGATGATACAACAGGAAACAGGCGAGGTACTGGCGACGGAGTTTCTGCGCCAACGGATCAGTATAGACATCCAACGCGGGAACGCGGCCTCAGTCATGGGAACAGCACCAGCATCGGCTAATTTAGACGAAATGTTCTGTGTGATTAGGCCGCCCATTTCTGTAATCGGCTGAGTTGTGTATTCAGTAAAAATCTTTCACTTTTATAGAAAATTTGTGACAAATACTGATGTACGCAACGACAGTAATAATAACTGTACTTACAAGTTACGTCTACATATCTTTATATGTCACGCATGTATGTGTAGTGCCAACAACAAACTTGATTACGGAAGAAGTTGTTAGCGAAAAACGATATGTAAAGACATTATACGAAGAGCACCGGGGACAAGTGTCAATAAATTTGTTAAATCGTTACGATTCTGAGCGCAATGCTGGTGACTATGGTATTTGTAAATACTGTCTTTACCTGAACTGCATATCCATCGTCCGCGTAGTGACATTTTGAGGAAAAAAAGGGAGTTTTCATAAAGTATTAGCTGTGTGACTGCGCTACATGTTTCGATCTGGCTTTATACAAGTGCATATTATATAGTGCTACTGTATAGTGTATATCAGCGAAACTTTCTATACGGAATTAACAGAAATCGGCAACAGTATCCGGTAGTCTGGTACCAGTTGTCACCGCAATGCCAGAAGCAGTCACTCAAAAGAATAAATAAGACCGCTGTTTGGAACTTGCCTTGTTTACACTACTTCCTTGTTGCTCGTGTCTGCTCTACAAAGTAACGATTTTAACGGAAGATACGTTATTATTATTTTGATGCGTGATCGACATCGTACGCTTTCGGAATGCATGGTTACTGGAGAAAAGTGTTATATAATTACCCACTAATCGATGATGGACGTATGAATTATCGTGACAACCACGTTGATCAAGCGCATCCGGTGCTAAACGCTCCGCACTTAATCATACTTGCTGTCACAGAAGCCAGCACACTAAACAAAACCCGGTTTCCTCGCATTATGAAAAGCCTGGGAGCGACTTTTATTGCACTATCACTACAAGGTAAATTGTATGCTTTGGAAAGATATCGAACCACGCAGCGCGTGATTCGATATCTTTCCAAAAAATTAAATTTACATTCAAAAATGTTTTCTGTGTTCAAAAATTGTATATCTGGTGCAAGTGAATTGGACAGGTGTTAAGAGGAGCCTTTGAAAGTCGATCGCCATACTACGCGTTTGTATGGTATTTTCACTTACCATACGCTCGCACTTAACCATACGCTAAGGTTAAGCGGAGCAGTTGCTCAAAGGCTTAAGCTGATGGCTGGATATCTTTTCTCAGAGTGGGCTGATTTTTGCAGTTGACATATCATTGAATTTGCAAACGAATTCTAAACAAAACGGCATTATTAGGTTCCTGACACATCAGCAGCACTTCTTGAAAACTCTTCCAACGGCTAAAATCAGCTTAATTCTTGACAATTAAACTGAGCAAAACTGTATAGTCCCAGATATTTGACGATGCAAAAAACACAGATCAAAGTTTCTGACTACTCAATACTAGTTTAGAGTCTACACCAAATTACCTACAATCTGAACCATATAGTCACGATATCAGGGAAAGATGAGGGAAGATATAGCCTTACGAAGTCAATCAGCTTAAGTCGGCAATTTCTCAGTTAAATTCACACTACTCAAAGCTTCCAATGCGATCGTCCAAACCTTGGAGCTAAATTTGTTATGCAGATACAAGGACACCTGGAAATATTATTATTTTTTAAAAACTTATATTAAAAAAATACATTTAAAAACATGTAAGGGCGGGACGCCCCGCCCTCCTGAGTAGCTATTCGCTGTTTCTGGGGATTTCCACCCCGCACATTGCTGCGCTGTTTTGACGGACCTGCAGCACAGTTGCACTGGCTGCAGGATCCTTCCTCATTAGTCTGGTGTTGCTGCGCCACGGTGCGCATTAGATTCGGCAATAAAGCCTCATCCGGGTTCACCGCTGTTCGCTGTCGAGGATACGCGTGGCGCCCATACGGCCCCGCGTTATAAACAAATTTAAATACGTAAATTTTATTGGTCAAATCAAACACAAGGCGCAATGTATCGAAACATAATAGATTAACACAAAAACGAGTTACAACAGGTAAATCTCTCATTTAATTTATCCGCTTCCCCAACGGTCCTGAGTATAGATGTCGCGTTTCCTCTTTGGATTACAAGCGACAATCGTTGTCGCAGAAATTCGTCTGAGCGAGACTCCCCGGTATGTAGTTGCAGTCTTTTGCCTAATTCTTTGACAATGGCAATTGCAGAGGGTCCCCATGGTTCCATCGTTTCAAAGACAATTGGTGCAAAAATTTAACGGCCGACCAGATAGGAATACAGTCTCGATTTCTTCTCTTCGGCTTGTACCGCTGCCGCTCCCGCACTGGTGGAGGTGGCTTTGAGATGAGAAATCGCCACCGTGTCTACACAAGTCACGTCCCAAGCCAGACACATGCCGCGCTTCCAGGCGAAAGTTGTGCAGCCGTCGGGACGACGATCCGACGTGCGGGATGTTCCCTGGGGTTCCAGTTTGGCAGGCACACCAGCTGACACCAGCCCACGGCAAACGATGTTGTTCAGGCCACCATGACGTGGATGTCTACCCGCAGAGAATGGGCATGACAACCCGTGATGTCCAAGGCCGTCCACAGGTCTATGGCATTTACTGCACTGGTGTGGCTCACAGATTTTTGCGCCCAAGCGAAGCCCGACGCTGATCTTCAGGGTGTCGTCGTCGAGTAAGTTTCCGA